AAATAACATTATTATAATCCTAAATATCCATAAAGAATGTACAGAGTGTTGCTGTGAATTTTTAAATAAAAATTTTTAAATTAGAAAAAATTTTTTAAAAATTTTAAATAAATTTTTTTAATTCTTTTTGTAAATTATTATTTATTGTGATAAAATTACTTTCACAGTAACATTAATTATTGTAATAATTAAATTGTATACAAGTTTATTTTCTTATACCATTTATTATGATCGGCGAAGTGAATGGTTAAGCGAGTCGAATGGACTAGCCGCTTCATTCGCCAGATCCAAAATGTTGCTTGCTAACGCAAGACATCAGAAAACCTGCCGAAAATAATAACGTTAACATCACACATACTATGTACATTGTTTTTGTTTTTTTGCAAAAGCAATTGAATTTTGCGCTATCCTCTAGCGCAATTACGGTTGTTGTTGTCCATTAATTTATTTAAATGCTCGAATTGTTTTTGGTTCGTTTTTTTCACTCTTAAATTAATATTAAACTATTAATTTTTTTTTTTAACAATAATTTGTAGAATTTTATGAACTTACTTTACAGGTAGTTTAGATTTTTCCATTACATATATCACTATAAATGCTATATCCAATAAAATAAAAAACACTCATGTATTAATTTGATTTTTGGTTTCATTCGCTAAGCTTGTTGTCATACAAAATTTTCATTTCAGACAGATTTGAAATTTTAGGCGAATTCGCTAATCATACGAGTAATACAAAAAATTCATATTCGCCCTTAAGTTTCATTCGCTTCACCGATCATAAAAAGGGCTATAATATTTTGTATACAATTTTAATTATATAATTAGAAATTGATTAACAAATAATAAAATTTAATTCTTTAATAATCAAAATAGATTTCCTATTAGTATATAGTATGATAATTACAATTTTACTCTTCAATAATTTTTAAAGTAAAATTTTAATTTTCAAAATATTATTTATTGTTATTATTTTAAATTGCTAAAAATCATCATATCAAAATTTTTTGCATTATTATATTAAAATATTATATTACATAAATATACATAAATTTTTATATAAATATCGTAACTATATAAATTATATGTAAATTATATTAAATCTCTAAAAAATAAAACAATAAAAGAAAAAATTTAAGAGAAAAAAAAAAACATTTTTTTAAAAAAAGGCTGCTCATTATTTTATATATAAATAAATAAAAAAAAAAATGATAAAATAAATAACTTAAAATTAAATAAAAAAAATATAATTAGTTGTATGTGTATACATTTTTAAATATATTCAATGAAAATTTAAAAAAAAAAAATTGTATGTAAAAATTTTTATTAATTTTAATTAAAATGAAAAACAAAAAAAAAATACTTTTTGTATAACAAATTTCAATTCAACTGAAATTATATAATATAACAGAATTGTAATTTCAGGAACTGTTATATTGAATGTACATTATATATTATGATGATCTAAAAAGCTAGTATTCAATTTTAAATTATTTGGAAAAAATAGAGTATAAAATCCTGTTTTTTATTAAATTTAAAACAGGGAGGACTTTATAGGATTTAGTAATTTAATTTATTTTTACTGTTATACTTGCTTTAAAGCAGTGACTACCAAAATTATCATAAATTTAATATTATTTTCTATTGAACTTATTTGTGCAAAACCTATAGTTCACAATATTCAAGATAATCACCTATATTCTGTTAGTCGCATCACTGTTCACCTAGTTTCTGTTAGTCGGGTGACGGGTATTATAAGAAAATATTTTAGGTTTTCAGCGTAAAATTTCAAATTTCTAAATTGATTTAGAAATTTATTTGAAATCTGAAAAACTTTAAATTTTTAAATAACAACCAATCTTAATCTATATAAATACGGTATTTAATTTACGGTAAAAAAATTTCTACGAAAAAACGATATAAGTAATTAATTTCATTTAATAATATTATAATTAATATATGTATATTGAAAACTAGCTTATTAAATCGTTTTTACAAATACATAACTTGGAAAATGTAGTAATACAGTATTAATACACACATTTTAGGTTATCAACGGAATTTGTAGTAAATATAGCTGAATTTTATAAAAATAAAGTAAAATAACTATATTTTCGAAATCACGGAATATCTTGGCATGAGCATTTTATTCTAGTATGTTCTGACATTCTCCTGAAATTACATAAAATACTAAATACAAAAAAAAAACAGAAACAAATCAAAGTAAACAAAATTTATTTTTAATTTAAAATAAATAATTTCAATTCATAATATTTCAGTTTATTTTTAAGAAAATTTTGCAATTAATTTTATGATCTGCAAATAATTGGAAATAAATTAAAATTATGAATATTAATAATTAAAAAAAATATTAAGTAAATAAAATAAACAAAGAAAAATTTAATTAGCTTTTAAATAATAATAAAATAAAAAATAAAAAAAAAAATTAAAGAAAAATGTAAAACTACTGAAATAAAAAAAAAAGAACAAGAAATTGCAAATAACAAAATGAAAAAAAAAAAACAAATTAACCGTCTATATTCTTATAGGTATTATAAAATAATTATTATCGAAACAGATAGATTTATATTTGTATATGAGAAATGAAAATGAAAAAAATATAAAAAATAGAAAATAAAAAAAAAATTTTTGTTTGGTGTTTTAATTCAAATAACATTAAGACATTGAACTAACAGTAAAACTTGACACTAAAAACAAATATTGGGCGGCTACTTAAAATTTATATCTAACGGTAAGTTGTATCATTCAGCAACCAAAACAGTTTGAATTATTTGAAGCTTTATTCCTTGTGACTCCTTGTGTAAATAGCCATGGTTTGTATAACAGTTTAATAATGGTTTGTTTTGAAATGTCTGAAATCTTATTAAAAAATAATACTAAACCCAAGTTATAAAAGAGTTTACCTTGAAAATAATTTTTTTTGTACGATTTTGTTAATTAAAAAGATTAAAAATGTTACTTTTTTGTTATACAAATCGAAAAATTTTGAAATACAAAATAATGTACATATACCTGTTTTCTTCTATAACACAAATTATACAAATTGTATTGATTAAAGTGGTTACATATTTTGCGTTTTCAGAAATTGTATATTATAATGTATACGTAGGGTATATACCCCGATCATTGCCCAATTATCATAGTATATTAGTTGAAAATACGCCTATAATTTTTTTTCATTATCTTTTTAATTCTATAAATAATTTGGTCGTTTAGTCTACGTCATTATGATTTATAAATAATTTATATATACATACTTATTCATATTATATAAGATTTTAACTTTACACTCTATATCCTAAATACTCTATATTTTATCTAAGTATATGTATACATAAAAATAAAATAAATTTCATTAATATAAACTCCGTATTCAATTAACTATTGATGAAGAGATTATTTACTGTTATATTTTTAATATTTTGTTATAATTATGCCAATTATAATATTAATTTAGATTTCTTAATTAAAATTGATTGTCAATCTCTTTTAATGAATTTATTTAACACAAAAAATAAACATTTTCAATTACCTTACAAAATTTAATTAAATTTCGGGAAGTATAAGACATAAGAAGATAAATTGTACAATATGTGTGGATAATATAGGCCTTATTTAGAAACCCGATGTTTTTTTCTAATAATTAATCACGTTTAATTAGCAAATCCCCTTAAAATATGCAAAAATTCTAATTGAGAACAATATTAAGGGAAAAAGTATGTAAATAAATTCAAGAAAGTATGTAATGAAATCAAGCGATTATTTATTAATTAATTTAGAATTAAAACAATTAAAATAATAATTACAATAATTTAAAACATTTATTAATATTTTATTTTAAATAAAATTTTTAAAAATATTAAATTTTTTGTCAAAAGTTAGCCACTACAGCATTTAATAAATTTTTTAATTAGAATTCCATACTATACAATTTTAAATTATCCAAGCATTTATTTATTTTATATACGCATATTATGCTGTACTTGTAAATGATATAACAGTACCTAGGTACTAAATTTAGTAGTACGAGTTCCTTTTTCAATATCGTTAATAATATTGGTTTAAAATTAAAAATAAATTAAATAAACATAAATAAAAATTTTAATAATATCGATTTAATAGGAATTTTTAACTATATTACAATATGGTATAACCTAGTATAACAAAAAAAAACTAATTTGTATAATGTTTATTAATGAACTTTTTTATAATATTATCATATATTAAATGAACAAGTTCTTTTTAATTTCGAAAGACCAAAGCAAAATCACTCTAAAATAATTAGTATGCTCTTTCTATAAAATGAAAATTCCTTATAATGTTTACCATAATAGGTTCTCTCTTATATTTTATATAACGCTCAGTATACAACATAGAAGATTTTGGATTCATAGATTATAAATGTGAAATGAAGTCTGTATGGTCTAATAAATAAGGTCTGATATTCTTAAGAAGAAAGAGTGTGGTATGATAATTTTTGAACAAAATTGAGAGAATATGATGACGTCATCATTTTCTAAATGCTTAACTAGGCAGACCTGTAGATTCACAGTATACTGCAATATGTAGTATTGCTACTAGAAACTAAATATTCTTTACTATTCTATTTATGAAATTTTTAGCAAATTAAATTTTAATTATAGATGCTATAATTCAATAGTTACCATGTTTCTTTTTGGGGCTATTGAATTTTTCATTTATTTTATTTGTTTATTTTTTTTTCTGCACTAATAATTTATTGAAAAGGACCTTTTTTTCATAGACATTAACTTAATTAAATTGTGTTTTTTTTTCTCTTTTAGACATTTTTATATTCAGCTTATTATATACCGTTATGAAAGTGTATGGAACATTTTAAGCAGCTCATTATTTCCATTTCATAAACTTTTAATTTTGAATTGAAATTTCTAAAAAATTTGAATTTCTTCATAGCTACTATAAAAAATTTGAAAAAATAAATTTTTAATATTAATTAACAAAATGCATCATAAAATGTCAGCGAATTCAGATCAAAATTTAATGAACGATAATGATGAACGTAAAGATTTTGTAAATGAATTTGAACCAATAACATCATTTTTAAAAATTACCGGAGTTTTACCATTTTATACAAGAATCTCAGAATTTAAAGTAAAAATAAATGATACTTCATTATCTGTATATACATTTTGTATACGAATGTTTTTATTAATTAGTACTGGAGCTATTATTTATGGTATGACTGAATCAGGTATGGCAAATTTATTACCAAGAAAAGCCGGTGAAACAGATAATATTAATCAATGGATTGAAATATTTTTATGTATAACAACTTATGTAACAACAATAATAATATCATGGTATTATTCAAGAAAACATATTGAAAATATTAATGAAATTTTGGGTACAGATAAAGAAATTTTAGATTATTTTGGTTTAAGAATAACAGATAAATGTAAATATTTTAAATATTTTATATTAATAATAATTGGAATACATGCATATATTATTGGTATATTTGTAAAAGCTATGCTTGAACAAATGGAAGCTAATAAATCAGATAATTGGTTTGAATATGCTAGATTTTTTTATAGTATTATAATATATACATATGAGAATTTTACATGTGCAATATTTATGATATATTTAACTGGAATATTAAATGTTATAACAAAACGATTTGATTTCATTAATAATATATTAAAGAATTGCGTTTCAGATGATAATTATGGTAAAAATCGTATTAATGATATTTTATTTGGTTTTAAAATTCATACAAAATTATGTAATATAATGCGTGATACAAATGAATTAAGTGGTGTTATACTATTAGCATTCATGGGTTATTCATTTTATAAAATAACAACAGATTCATATAATAGTTTTGTACAAGTAACACAACAGACACCATCATTATTGGTTTTACAAAATTGTGCTGTTTGGTTAGTTTTAAATATATTTTTATTAATTATAATTACGGAATGCTGTGGTAATGTTACATCTGAGGTGAGAAAATTAAATTTTTTTATTAAATAATTAAATATGTACATATATTAATTATGAATTATTTTTATTCTAATTATTGAAGGCAAATGTTACTTCACAAATTTTATCACGATCATATGGAAAAGATAAAAATTATAAAAATATTGTAAGTACAATTAAAAATAATTAAATTCTTAAAATGTATTTTAAGAAATTAAAGAATTTATTTTTAAGATCGATAAATTTTTAACAAAAAGTATTAATCAAGAATTGGAGTTTACGGCATATGGATTTTTTGCTATTGATAGTTCAACATTATTCACGGTAAGTATAAAATTATGTTGTATATACTATATAATAATCATGACCTATGTTATGTACATACAAAATTACATACATACATACATATGTATATTATATTTAAGTTCAATTCGCTTTGTTATATATGTATGTAATTTTATTTGTAGATATTATCAGCTGTAACAACCTATTTAGTAATATTAATTCAATTCAAACAATTAGAAAATACCGGTGACACAACAGAGGCACCAACAACGAAACCATAATTTCGATTAATATTATTTTTAACGAAGATAAATACATTAAAACCCTTTTTGAATTTATTTAGATGTATTTTAGTATGTAAGATTTATTTTGTAAGATATACTATATGTATATAAACTTATGTATGCAATAAATTGAAATTGTGTTAAAAAATTAATTAGAACTTACTTTAGTAATGAAAAGTTTAAAAAAAAATTGAAAATTTTAACGAAATATTAGAATTAAATTTTCTGTGTCCTAATACACAACACAAACACTTGTTTTGTTATTATCTTGAACCTGTAATTTCAAAACATAACCTATATGTTATTATTATTCTACTACTCGTACACCGTTTCTATGGTGATAAAAAAGTTTATAAACAAAACGTCCATATAAAAAATTACATGTTTCCTTATAAAGTGAACACTTTTCTTCTTTTTTACAATAAAACGTAAATACAATTTAAAATAAAATAATCTAGCACTGTAACTAGTGTGATGGCTGAATTACATATTTTTGGGCAAATACTAAAGGCTGTTAATTTTGAAGAACCAAAATTATTCTGCAAATGGAGTATACAAGCTGGTAAAATCTTTTTAATTATTACATACATATGTATGTAAAAAAAACCAATTCCATATTATATGAAATTCAAATGCTAGGTTCATCTTGGAGTTTCATTGAAGGGGAAAATGAAGGCCAAACTGTAACAGCAATAGATCGCTTAGAAGAATCTACAACTTTTTGTCAACCATTAGATTTACATTTAGCATGTCGAGCAATACAAGGATGGCCAAAAATTTATGTTGAAGTTTATGCAGTTAATTGTATGGATTATTGTTGGCCAGTTGGGTAAGATATTATTCATATTTTTCGCTAAAATAATATTATCATAATAATAAGAGATTTTTGGTATATAAGATTTGGTTTTGTACATATACCTTCAAGTCCGGGTACCCATACAGTGGAAATTAATACTTGGAGAATATCACCAAATAATTTTTGGGATAAAATCAAAGATAAATTTTATTCTGGAGGATTTGCTTTAAGTAAAAGTGATTTAATACATTCTGGTATTGAAAGGTATATATAAAAACATATATCCAAATTCTTGATTCATAAAATATTTAAAAATATTTTTAAAAAATTTTAGATACAAATTGCAAACAAGAAGTTCCGGGAAAGTTATTATTGATTTATCTCTTATTTTTCGTAATTTTGCTAAATACGGAATTGAATTTTGAATAAATTAGTAATTCTAATTAACTCGCATAAAATAATTTTAAGATAAATTAACACATTTTATATTATTTGAAATTTAAGAATTTAATCTGTAATTACCCATTATTAAAGTAATTATTAAAAAGTAATTGACTAAAATAATTTGAATTCATAGCTGATTTGGAATATAGTTTTCTCTTTTCGTTGCAAATTAAAGAAAAATTTAGTTAAAATATTTATATTAAACTTTTATATTATGTACATTACATTTCTTTAGTATTTAAAAATTATATAACATTTCATTATATTTAATATGCAATTCGAGTTTGCTTTATTATGAATGAAAACTTTTAAGAGACTTGTATTATGTCAAATCTATTTAACAAAAGAATAATAATAATAAAATAATATTAAATGAATACTTTTTAATTATAATAATAAAACAATAATATAATATTTTTAACATTATCCGTTTGCATACTTTTTAAGTGGAAATGCTTATTAACAAAATATACTTACATATTATGTACATGATATTGAAATTTTAAAACAAAATAATAATATTTTTTGAGTATATTTTTCTAAGTGTGTATAATATTTTTAACAATGTCTCTCAAACATATTCTTGAATGTAATAATTTAAATAATAATTTTTGTTACAAATGGCAAATTAAATGCATAAATATATATACAAATATAAGATTCAAAAAAAAAAAAGTACAAATATTAGAATCCTTGCATTTAATATATAAAATTTTAGTTTTTTACTTGTTTCAGATTTTTAAAATTAAAATTATATGTTTAACAATTATATTACTCAATATCTTTTTTTTCTTACAAATCTAAGGTTTTTCTTTTAAAACTTTCTATGGCTGAGGAAATAATTTTGTTCTAATACATCGAATAAATTTCCTTTAACAATATGCTCATATGCTGCTTTAATTGTTGTGAAACAATAACCAGCTAGTCCTGACAAATTCATTTCATGGTTTGCTTCTCCAGTTAAATCGTCTAATAAAGCTAATTCGGCGCCAAGATGTGGAACATTTGCTCTTAATACTAAATATAATGTTAATGGTACAATATTATCAGCTCCACCATCTGGTATCACAGCGCATTCTAAATATAGAACGGTTTAAAAATATTTTCCAAAAAAATTATTTTAATTGTTATAAATCAATTATTTTTACAAGTTTTCCTACCTGAGGCTTGCTTAAGGGCATCATTTATAAGTTCAATTGACTTTTCTAAAATATCCAACATTCCCTTGGGAGAGCATTCCTCAGTAATTTGTTTTAATGTTACGATAGCCTGATTAAATTTACCGTTTCTAATTATATTTATTAGTGTTCTAAAATAAAATGTGATCATAGAGAAAATATAAATAGAATTAGGCAATATATAAAAGTTTTATAAGTTATACTTTTCAAAACATAAAAAATCAAGTAATTCCTCATCGCCGGTTTTTTCAATCAGCATGATCCTTTGCCTGTAAATTTCATCTTGTTCACGGTATTTATTAGCGTAAAGAACACATAAAGTTGAATATATTCCTTCAGATAATAAAATTGGATATAATAAGCTGAAATGTGATACCACCTCTCCACTCCTAAAATATTGTTTAAAAGTCAGAAAAAGAACTAGCATAAAAATAATTTAGTATTATAACAGTGTTGATCTTACTCTTCAATATCACACCTATCTGCAGGCAATGCGGGAAATAATTTCCTAATAATTTTATAAACACGAAGTGAAATAGATTCCCATTCTTTAATTGCTTGATATGCAAGAATAGGAGTTGGTTTCATTCTCCAGCAGCCGTAACTTGAATAAAATGAATTTGATATTCTATTGTTTAGCATATTTAAAGGATGATATTGATCCTTAAAAGCCTGGAAACCAATTAAAATTAAAATGTAACATATTTAAAAATAATTTTTAAATTTTTTTTATCACCTGCTCTAAATAATCTTTTATATTTTTAATATCCTCCTTGTTTAATGAGTTTATTCCAAAGTCTGGCACAATGTCCAACGCTATTATGTTACTATTAGGGTTTATTTTCCCTTCTAAAGAACTACGATTTGAACTGGAATTACTTTGGTTGCTAATACTATCAAATTGATGCATACTAAAGAAATTATTTAAATTAACATTTTCTTCATAGTAACGGTCGAATTCTTGATCAAATTTTTCAATTTTGTCAAAAAGGATTTCATTACTATATGATCGTTTATGTTGATAGTGTATAGATTTTTCTGCGGTGTTTCGTTTTGATAAAGTACTCATTGCTGAATTAACGCTAATTTTGTCTAAACTATTTGATAATTTGGATAAAAACATATCGCTTTTATTCAATTCGAGTGTAATATTTTTTGCAAAAAAACTGCTAAATGAGTCCAAAACATTTTGTTCCTTTACTTTTTCCCTTTCTTTTTGTGATGTTATATAAACTGCTACACGACTCCAAACTAGCTTAGGAAGTTCGCTTGAACTTGAATTACCAAGCACAACTTCTTCCCAATTATCGAAAAGTGACCTCCACTTCCGATTATTGTCAACAACTCTTTCCCCTATGCTTCTAATAATATAAAATCATTTATTTTTTTGAAAAACATAGTAAAACTTTTTTACTTTGGTGTTTTTGGGAACTTTTTATTTAGGTTCACATTTCCACTGATAACTCTTACGTCACTCCAGGTTCCTCCTAAATTTCCACTTATAATATTGCCTTCAACAAAAATTTCCTTTTCTGAAGTTGATGTCTAAAAATTTTTTAAATTTTTAATTATGATATATAAAAATGAATATTTTATACTTACTTCTTGAACTTCTTTTATTGGAATGTAGTAAATGCCCTTACCATCTGGACCTTTTAGAGTCATATGTCCTTCATAATAATTCCCGTTATTAAAAATAGATAGACCTTCACCAACTATGTCGTCATTTACGAAAAATCCTTCGAAGTAGTCTCCATTCAGCGTGACACAAACTCCTCCAGTTTTTCGATTTTCAGCAAACATTCCCATATACTTGTCACCAGTAATTAGATCATCTTGAATTCCATATCCATTTTTCATGTTGTTACAAAATTCGCCAATATACGTGTAATTACTCGCTTTTAGTGTACCATGGCCGTGAAATAAGCCGTCCTTAAAATTACCTTCATAGAAGGCGTTGTCCTTCATTTCGTAATTGCCAATCCCGTTAAATTTTCCAGCCTTGAAATTCCCCTCATAAATTCCAGAACTAGGTATGATCATTTTCCCGAAACCTAGAAAAAGTCTATTAAATTATGAAAAATTCAGCAATTTATTAGATACCATCAATTTCATTGTTTTTTATCTCTCCAAAATAAATTTTTCCGTCAGGATATTCTAGATAAAATAGTCCATGCATTACACCAAGAATCCATTTTCCATAAGCTTTTACTTTTGAATAGACAGGATGCTTATCGCTAAAAGTATACATTGTACTTCTTGTATTTGTTAACTGACTTCCTCCAGGTTTTCCCAAAGCTTTTAGTATTGCTTGCTTCATTTGGTCATGCCAAATCATTTTATCATCACGACTTCTTGCAATCAAAAGGAAGGACTTTTCAGGAGTATGAATTCTTAAATTAGTATCACCATCAACTTGTACCCAAAGAGCTATCAAAGGGAACATTTGTAATTGACTTCCATATTGACACAAGCAATCAGAAAAAAGAATAAATGAATTTGAAGAAAATGCGCTACTTGTAGATAGTTTTAGAGGTAAATTCATTGAGTCTAGTATTACTCTTCGATACCTCTTTTTGAATGGACGTATTTGTGAGATTTTAACGTTTTTCAGCCAAAATTGTTCTGTGTTTTCAGCAATTTCTACTTCGATTATTTGTTTTTTAGAAAACTCCTGCCACTCAGAATTTTTTTCATTAAAGAAGTTTGATATTTGTAAAGTAGATATATATTCATTTCTAGAAAGCAACTCACAAAATTGTAAAATATTAGAAATTTGCTCGAAAGGGGCTGCAAAAATTTTTTCATATTCTCGATTATCCTTTTGTTTAATGTATGGAAATTGTTTTGTAAAATCTGCAAAACCATTTATTGATTTAATATCACAGTAATGCCTTGTATAGTCATCAAAAATGTCAATCAATTCTTGAGAGTTACATAAAAATAATAAATCTTTATATTCTATATTCTTGCGATAAAAATCTTCAACTGTTTGAAGACATGCGGCGAACGCATATAGCATGCGGTTGTAAGCTCGAATTAATGGGAAAATTGATTTTATATTCAAATGAGTTGTAACCGCTTGCAATTTTTGAAAATTTTTAAGATAAATTTGGTTCCGTAACATAGCTCTCACAGTTGCTTGCATAGATGAAAAAAATGTTTGATATTCTACTTCTAAAGTTATACTATTTAATAACGTAAATTTATTACAAATTAGCATAATTGGAAATCGTTTTTCAGCAAAGGAATGCAAATTAAAAATTTTTTTTTCTAATGATTCGTTTTGTTCGTTATATGAGGGTTGTTGAAAAATTTTCACTTCATTATTGCATAAAATAGTTCGATAACCCTCACAGTAACCTTCTAAAACATTTGAAAAGCTTTCTAAATGCAGTTCTTTCGGTGCTGTAATATCTTTTTCTTCATTGTCGTTTGTTTGCTGTAAGTTTGTATTTAAACCCCAATGAAATATTCGACCGTCTAAAGTTCTACAAATAGAATGTTCTTTTCCACATGATATGTTATAACAACCAATAGAATTAAGATAAAGAACAGGATGAACACCTTAAAAGTAATAAAAAGTTTTAATTCATATGCAATTTAAAAATATTCTAAATTAAATGCTCACCCTGACGTTTGATATGATCTCCGGTTCCAAGTAGAGATTCATTTTTTGTACCAAAAGAACATACTGAAGTATTTATTAGAGAGTAACCATTTTTTAATATTTCTTGTATTTTAAAATAAATAGAATCCTCGAAATTTGTACTATCATTACTACTTGCTGAACTGTTTGCTTCACTTTCGTAACCATTATTTTTATTTGAAGAATTAATATTATTGCTAAACATTTCAACAACCGTATCCATTCTTCTAAGATAATTTTTCCTTTTGGTTTTATTAAAATTCTTTAATGTCACATACTTTTGGATTTTAAATTCTTCTAAATCATCAAAATCTGATAAATACTTTTGTGTCAATACAATGAAAAAATTATCTCCACAAGCTATATCAATAATTTTTTGATTTTCGAAAAACATTCCCAATTTCGTTGGGTTTTCTGTGGTCAAAACTTCTCCACATTGGCCTTGTCCATAAATTTCATTATCACTTGTCATGTACAAGGTTCCAATAGAATTAGATTTCACTTTAACAACTTTTATTACATTCTCTAAAGAATGGTTGTTGAAATTAGTTAGAAATTTAATTTCTTCCCAATTGTTTTCTGAAAGAAACGTCAAGTTATCTGGAAATATTTTCTTTTTATATACACATCCACTATTTAATACTAAATAAAATATGTTATTGTACAAATCAATATCTATAACTCCTTCTTTCCATAACTTTAGGGAAAGGTTTAATGTGTTGGGATTGTAAATTCCATGAAAGAGTTTATTATTATTTGATAGTAGAAATGCTAAATTTTCAGAAATGTAGAAACGAAGGATGGGACCAATTTCGAACAAATTTTCTATGTTGCAATTGATGGATTCTCCATTGTAAAATATTTGAAATTTTAAATGTGACATAATTTCCTAAAAATATACCATAAAGATAATTTAAAAAATTTTAAAATACTTTTTAAAGAAAATGTAAATTGGTATTCAATAATAATTTAAAATCGTCATTATAACGCATTTAATAAAATTTATTTAAGTTACCTATAGTTTTTTTTAAATAATTTCATACTTTATCCTATCCAATGACGCTAAATATTTAACACTAGTTCTTTAAAAAAAAAGGGTGATTCATTGAACAACATTGCTATATTTGGTAATGGTAAATATAGAAATTAAATATTATATTTCCGTATCAGAATAATAACCAAGCAATTTGTTCACTCAATGTTAAAAAGATAAGATTGTTTACACATCAATACTAGAATAACATTTGATCAATTTTTGTCTATATTTGTTTTTAATGAAAAAATTAAATCCATTAATGCTTGGCAAAAGTAAACATTAAAAATTTTTTGTTAATTTTTCTTATCGGAATGTTACGACATAACTTTTCACATATTATAACTAACTTTGCAATAATAATGCAGATAGTTAGGTAGGTTACCTACCCACCTAAATTGTAAAAAATATATGATCAACTGATATTTTTCTATTTGAATTTTACTTGATTAATTCTAATATTAACATCATTTGTTGCAAAATATTAATACAAAGAATTCTATTAGTTTCTACTGGGTAGGTAGCTACATGAGTGTGTATTTCATTTTCATTTTTGCTTTGTTATTGTCTAGCAATAATAACTGAAGATGGAACATATCTATATTTATATACTGTACATCTTTACCAACATGTTTATACAAAACAACTAATTTTTCATCAATTATCAATTTTTACATAATTATAACAAATATAATTTACTAAATAAGCACAGCTACATATATATTTTTCGTTTAATCAATTTTCTTATTTTTTCACACTTGACTTCGATATTGTTTACAAAGCATATCTTCATTTTTCTACGCAACTAAAAATTTTAATAAAAATTTTATTGAACAATCAATAAATTAACTATTTAAAAATTGAATATTAATACGAATGATGCGTTATTGAAAAATGTTACTAAAAATTTTATTTTCTTCCAGTGTCAACCAAATTGAATTTTAATTACCTTAATTAGTCGTAGTAGTTGTACAAACAAGAAAATTTTCGACTAAATCCTTTCATTATTCATCATAATACCATTTGTTTTAATATCTTTGGATTCCTTTCAAATTTTTATAAAAGTAATATACTTTAATTATTTATAAATTTATATTTTGTAAAAAAAAAAAATAATATAAATAAAATTTCTGTTTCTGTTTTCTCTTTAACAATGAAAAATTTTGTTTTGTTTGTTTTCGTCTTTTGATGTTTGATGAATCAGCTGTCACATGAATTTTTAGTAGGGTTGAAATTTTCTTATTGGGGAATGAAAATTTGGAGTGCTGCCATTGACGAATTTTAATAGTAAGTAAGTGACACCTGACGGTAGAAAATAATATCTAATTAGTAAGCCACTAAAAAACTCAAATCATTTCAAAATTTTAAAATTTAAATTAATTATGTTAGAAATATTGAATTATATTAACAGTTATAATATTATATAAATTAATAGATTGTTAATGAGATTCAAAGTAGATTCAAAGAGTATTGTTTAAAATTTAATGAGCCAATCATTTTTTTCTCTTCTTCCATGGTGATATAAATTCAACGCCCTAACTTCAAACAACGTAGAGGTATTGTTATCGGATTAAATTTCAGTAGTTTTCATGGCTTGTAATAGAAAAATATTTTTACATGATATTTTTGGGGAGATATCTTAAGCGGTCTGCTTGCTAGTCTATTCTTTTATGGATTATTTTAATTTGAGCTGAACTGATTTTTATGAAAATATGGTATACTGCAGATTATACATATACATGTATGTCTGTAAGTGCACTGTATTATATGTGTGAGCTCACTTTGAAGATGAAATAAATATTGATCAACTTTTCGTATACTTTAGACTCTTTATTACGAGTCGATTCTGTATTGTTGATTATTTTTAAGAAAATATTAAGCAAACAGTTTTAAAATTTTATATAATTGTTGCGTATAAGACAGTTTACATAATATATATATGTTACGGAATGCATGGGGTTTGCAAACCAATAAATGGCTTACTAATTTTTTGTTTCAAGCAATATCATATTTTAGTACCGACCGCCAAAGGGTTAACATTCAAAATTGGAATGACATTTTTAAAAAGTTTTACTTTCAAACAGAAGTAACAGCTAACTGCTTTTATATTAATTTTTTAATATGTTTGATTTGAATTTGAATAATATAAAAAAGGTTTCTGCTATCCTAAGATTTCTTGTGCGCTTTAAATTTGATCGAATCTATAATTTTAATTTTTGCAATTTTTATCAAAGTAAGAAACGCAAGCAAGAAGCTTTAAGGATTTTATCATCTTTTGGGATTGTGTAAGTAATAAAATAATTTTTTCAAGCTTAAAATATTGCTTTTTAATATTTTATGCTGTATTTGAATAAACATTTTATGAAAATTTTATTGTTATGTGGTTATGTGTTAAATGATTAAGAGGAAGTTCTGATCTAATATATTTCTTTTGATGAGGCGGAAAACAATGGCTTTTTCATTATTATAAAATATTACAAGAAATGTATACCTACATACATACATACATACATATATACATTATGTAGTTTTCATATGTTGCAGAAAGATTGCAAAAATTAAATAAAAAACCGTTTGCTATTTGTATTAAGGATTAGCATAAGTTTATATTATACTTAGTATGTATGTTTGAACAATTTTCATTCTTTTAGATGTAAACGAAGATTGTATACAAATTATACTTTTTGTTATATAACGAAGTAAACACCGAAGCATGAATCACCAAGAATCTAAATAACTCAACCTACTATAAAATAAGAACTATAGTAACTCAATATATTGAGGTTCAGCGTTGGAATTTTGAGGACCACTTTAGCGTTTGACTAATTTGATGATTGAAATTTCCATATCTTGAATGTACCTATTGTAATGAAATAATTTTAGATGTAATCGTAACTAGTATTGCTATATTTTATTATATTATGCCTTAAAGGTTACTTGAAATTTATATTTGAACAAATCTCAGGTAAGTGATAACAAGATCATGTATTTAAAATATTAATATAATTAAGACAAACAACTCTTTACAATATATTTTAATTATTTCATTACATAAATACTAAAAAAAATTGTTCGGAAATTATAACTTCCGACTATGTATAGATCAGGTATCTACTAACCCGAAACGAAGAGACAACTTAAATTTAACAGAATATGGTACACTATGAAAACGATGCAATTATATGTTAACAATTAACCCAAATATGTAATATATGTTTATCTGGACTATGAGTACCTAAATTGTATGTACGCATTTTGCGTTGTAAGTATTTTGCATTGTAATGCTTTGCACAAAAAAGAAATAGAGTACAAAATTAAAATGTTACCATGTTAATAATTTTGATGGATGACATTGCATAATAATATTTTGTGAATATCTTGCATAAAATTTTAGTTATAAAGTTTTTCTCTTTTTTTATTCTTTATTTTATTTTTAAGAAAATAATTGGGTACTACCTACACATATAATATTAGGTTGGTATTATTATATGTTTTTATTGAAACAGTCTTCAATAGTGATCGCAATTCCGATGTTTTAGTTTTTAATAAAAAATTTGTTCTTAACCAAATATAAGTAGGTATCTATAGCTAAGTATTTTATTTGTTGAATGATTTCGAATTGAGTGTAGAAATTTTTTGTTTCTCCAAAGTTTTTCAAACTTAGGAATTCGAATGAAAATTCAATCTTTTGTTTCATAATAAGTTAATATCTTTGAGATAAAACATACAGATCTAAAAATGATGTTAAGAATATTAATTCACCTTAAAAATGGTCCTGACAATTAAATAACGAAGAAATCCTAATATTATATGAGCATTTTTCTTGATTAAAATTTTCTTTTTCATAAATTTAATATATTTCATATTAACATAGGAATATGTATTCAAAAAAAAAAAAACAGATGATTCATCATATAAGAAATTATTTAAATTAAAATATTACCTGCAGAAATTTTTTTTTTCTTTAAATGTTTCTTTTTCAAATCTGCAATTTGGATGTTAGAAGAGAAATAGGAAAGTTAATGTGAGTCCAAAAATAATTCATTATTTTTCCTATTAAAGCTTCGGTATCTGAAAGCAGTTTCAACATCGATAGCCCTTCAAGCTGTTTGAAGTTGCTATAATGGTTTTTTAAAATGTATTTTATCAGAAGAATATGCGTATTTAATTTTTAACTAGCTCTTTTTGTGAATTGATTACTTTACCATTAAACCATTTCTTTTTTGTTACCAATTAAAGATTTTTAAATATATTTTTTAATAGTAATTGTAAAAAATTACAAATTTTTTCGTTTGATCATAGTCCTTTTTTGAATTATGCTATATTTTGAAAATTGAAATATCCTCACAAAGGGCTCCACTATGCATGGAAATCAATCAGAATACCGATCTAATGATTTATTGTATAAGACACTTGTTAAAATTTTATTAGCTTTTCCAGTAATATTTAAGTTTTTTTTCTGCCTTTACGTTTGAATGATAAGTTAGAGTAGTGTTTGTTTTCTTTTTCCTATTTGTTTGATTCTGTGGCGCTCAATCAGCAAAAATAAAAAGGCAGTTATATCCAACATTTTGCTTTATTTTTTATAACGACAGAATAAATGAAAAAAAAAACTAACAGATTGCAACGGGTTTTCCACTGGTTTTATTTTAATTTCATGAAAAAAGCAACGTTGTCAGTAGTATCCAAGTAAATATTGAAGTTTGGTGAACAATTTGCTGTCCTGAAAAACAAAAGGAACTCATCAGTAACCATTGTTTTGACCAATTGAGTTTGTGTGACCAATCCTTTAATTTAATTTCATGTATCCTTGTTTTTACTCTCTCTTTTTCTTATTTTATTTATTTTATGCTGTGTTTTTTTTTCATTACAAATTTTTTTATTGAAGTTGTTCAACTATAATTGTAAGGTTTGTTCTTTTTTTGTTATTCGTAGGTCCCATTATCATTGTTATATTTTTAAAAATTCTCTTGTTTCGTAGTCTACTAAAAATATTTTAAAATTGGGGAAAAAATACTGTGAGAATAACAATTAAGAAAAGAAACAAAGAAAAATGAAAAACAAAAATTTAATAACCACCTGCTGTACTAAAATTTAGTGAATGGTAATTTTCAGTTAAAATTTATTTAAACAATTTGTTAGTGTTCTTTATACTGTTAGTGTTCTTATACATAATTAATCTATGTATATAATGTACATAGCGGGAAAATTGACATTGTAATTTGGGAAATAGGGAATGAAGTATGAATGTTATTGAAGTAATTTTGTAAAAATAAAATTTTCGTTCATATGATTCAGGAAATTTCTAAATTCTACCTTAAAATAATTAAAAGTATCTTGAATATTAAATGTAATTTTGTTAATATTTTTTATAACATGGATCTATAAGGATAATATGGGTATAAAATATAATTTTTAGGTGAGTGGAGTGTCTTGCTTATTCTTAATTTTTTGGTTATTATAAAATATATGCAAAACCTAAATATTTAATCAGTTTCTTTTAGAAACCGGGACATCCAATTGAAAAAGCGATGTAATTACTGGAAAAATTACAATTTGCCCAATCAAGAAATTGACAAATCTTACCTTTGAGCTTATTTGTCTTTTGTTTCCGTTCTGTTGATTTCTACAAATAAAATTTGAGAGTCCGGCTTACATCAATTATTTTTGAAGTTTGGTTTTCGTTATCCTATTGGTGATTGTATCAAATGTTTTGACAATTATTTTAAATAATAGTTTGCTTCAGTATATACATATATTAATTTTTTATTTTCGTATATTTAGTAAATCGAATCGAAAAGGACTCAACCAATATTCGATAAACCACTAAAAAATTGAAAAAAGAAAAATAGTTTTAAATTTTATTGTTTTAATTTTATGGATGAAATTTTTTTTTGTTTTTGAATAAATTTTTAATATGTGTTTTTCCTATTTTTTTGGTAGTTATTTTTTGTTTTTGGAAATTATTTTAAAAATATCCTTATTTTTACTTTAATCGTTGCACAGAGAATTATAAAATGTTATATATAAAACAATTGCAGTAAAAATAATAACAACTTGTACTTTTTATTTTAGAATAATTTTCTATATTATTGACATTTAAACGTACGTGGAATGGGAAGAAACTTTAAGGAGGAGGAATATAAAAGAGTTTTATTGTATATAAGATAATTG